TTTTACCCCCCCCCCCCCCCAAAAAAGACGGGGAGATGAACAGAATGCAGCTTTTCATTGTAACATCTTCAGATGTACACGGTATAGAAAGATGCAGGTAACAACATTTATATACTATAGTAGTGATATCACCATCTCAGATTTTCAAGAAAACAACCAATTTCCAGTGATTAGGGAGATCCTAATGGATGATTTCTGAATATAAGCTGAAAGGAAGACATATAACATACTCCTACTTCTAAGGGACAAGTGGACAGCACAAAAGCTTGTCTTGCAGCTAGACTGATGTATAACTGAAAAATATGCAAATAGCATGAAGTTTGCAATGTATCGTTTCATCAAATGAACTTATTTTGGTGTTCTAGGTTCCACAGGTGACAGGACACGAAAAGTGAATGTGGAATAAAGCAAGTAAAGATGGCAATCAAGTACATCAAGAATTTCAGGAGCATACCATTCATGCGCCAAATTTTCACTTGGCGATCATCTGCACCAGAAACTATNAAGATGCAGGTAACAGCATTTATATACTATAGTAGTGATATCACCGTCTCAGATTTTCAAGATAACAACCAATTTCCAGTGATTAGGAGATCCTAATGGATGATTTCTGAATATAAGCTGAATGGAAGACATAACATACTCCTACTTCTAAGGGACAAATGAACAGCACAAAAGCCTGTCTTGCAGCTAGACTGATGTATAACTGAAAAATATGCAAATAGCATGAATTTTGCAAAGTATCGTTTGACAGGACACGAAAACTGAATGTGGAATAAAGCAAAGTAAAGATGGCAATCAAGTACATAAAGGATTTCAGGAGCATACCATTCATGCGCCAAATTTTCACTTGGCGATCATCTGCACCAGAAACTATAAGGGGGAGTGTAGGATGAAACGATGCCCAGTTAACCCCTCTATCATGACCCTCCAAGACATACTTCACCACAGCATCCACTCCACCAAAGAAATCAGTATTCATCTGACTTAACCGCAAGATATCATCAGCAGGAGAAACAGTTTTCTTTCTTAGAGCACCAATATCCCAGACACGAACAGTCTGATCCAAAGAAGCAGAGACAACCAAGTCCTCTTTGTGATGAAATGAGGCGCACATTACATAATGATTGTGGCCAGTCAAGACGGATATACAAGTACGAGACTGCCAGTTCCATATCCGGATGGTCTGGTCGTCACTTGCACTAACAATCCAGGGATATTCATGGTGAAATTGAACAGTTCGGATATAATCAAGATGTCCTAGTAGGGTAAACAGGCAGCGATGCAGCTTATAGTTCCAAACCTTAATCTTGTAATCATCTCCTGCAGTAACAAGAATTTAAATACACAAAAGGAAATAGTTCTCAGTCGATTTGCATTATGCATGCGTAAAGCAACATATACTCTAAGAAATGTTACCAGTAAACCAAGACAATAAAGTGTCGCAATAATGGACTACAGGAAAGCAGCCTTCACAGTTTAGAAGTTTAAAAAACAGATAACATAACAGAAACTACCCATTTTATTTGCCATGATCATGCAAAGTTAACAAATATGTGGCCCCAAAAGTACGTTATTTAGACACCAAAACTGAGGCTTCTAATAATGCAATATTAGCAATATGCCCTGATTCCTATAATAAATTCAATAATGGACAAAATTAAAGAAGAAACCACACTAAATTAAAGAAGACATATGCCCCCCACCCCCCTAGGTCTAGTGGTAAGAGTGCAGCGCATATGTGGGCTAGGCACATGTCACGGGTTTGAATCCTGCTGCAGATGAGCAATATCTTAAGTGGAGAAGGGTAGAGGGGCAGGCACATTATCCAAGGAGTTCTGAACCATGCGCCACTGCCATCAGGAGTTTCGCGTTTATCAAAAAAGAGAAAACCACACTACATTAATCTACGAATCAAAACTCACTCAACAGATCTTTGATACACTATCAAAAAGAGAAGGAAAACAGGAGTAGAATCATACCCATGCTTCAAAGCTTCGGGGGCAAAGAGAAATAACGGGAACCACAGCTAACAAAGTGCATCAACAATTATAGAGAACCAACAAAGTTAAAAGGGGAAAAAGAGGTTTTAGTCCCTAATTTATTGTTTTATTCCATTTGTCCCTATGTTATTCAGTTTTTTCATATTTAATTTCAATAAAACCAAACGTTCAATTATGTTCCACCTGCGCTGTTGTACATATTAACTGGAACTATCATTCAGAAGATGAATAACAAAAGTAACTTCACAAATTCATGGATCACACATATACTCATCCACATACTTTAGCAGATTCAGAATACATCACACTGCGATGCAAATAGAATTTTAGTCCCTAAATAATCTTCTATTAAGGCTTTGGTTCCTCCAATATTCAACATAGCACATTTAAGTATTTCACCTTCAGTTAGAACTATGTTCTTATGTTTGAATTACCCATACAAAGTGAGACTATCATTCAGAAGATAAAAGAGAAAGTACTTCCTAAATTCACAGATCACACAAAGCCTCATCCATATTATTATTAGATCCACGCTCCGTCATACAGTTATACAAATAGCAACTTAGTCCCCAAATTATTGCAAAATTCCATTTTTGGTCCTGTATTATTCGACTTAGCACTTTGTTGAAGGTAACATTTGTTGTATATATATTAACTGCACCAAAGCTAGTGCAATCATTCATAGTTACAAAAGGTGGAACAGAAGGGTAATCCTTAACCTACTTACAAGGATCATAAAACGTCAACAAAAGACTCTAGATCTTCCATGTATTCTTGCTTACACCAAAAATAGAAAAGGGATAAACATTGCATTTTCAACTTAGCACATTTAAACTTCAATAATTATTACGGTCCAATCATGCATACAAACTAGAACTATCATTCAGAAGATTTTTTCCTTTTTTATATAGGATTCAGAGACCCTTTTTTCTATAAAAGGGCTAAGATAAAACAATAAAAGCAACCTTCTCAAGTAATAGACCACACACATGCTCATCCACATACACCAGTAGATCCAATTCCAATACTCATCCCAACAAACTAGTATATTCATATTCCATCACATTTTGATGCAAATAGCATTTTAGTCCCGGAATTATCATTTTAATTCGGGTTTCGATCCTTCTATTATTCAAATTAACACATTTAACCTTCAATTTAACCAAATGTGCATTTGTGGTCCAATTGAATATACAAACTGGAACTATCATTCAGAAGATAAGCTAGATCATCCTTCTCAAAATAAGCCTTTGTCATATCAGGTAAATGAATCCTATAGCAAGGGGGGTCTTCACTCGGCAAAGCTAGATCATCCTTCTCAAAGTAAGCCTTTGTCATATCTGGTAGATGCTCTAGAGCAAAGAGCTTTAAAAAAAACAAAAAAAAAATAAAATACTGAAATAAAAAGAGATGTACAAAGCATAAAAAACAATTACTTACATGGATCAGCAAATGACTCAGATTTGTCCCTCCCTCCTTTTGCAACCCAAATAGAGAGTAGGCTCAAACTGCTGACCCCCATGCAAAACATTTACTTTTTTATATCCTCCAATGCATATAAAAAATCTTCTATTACAGCATTATTTGAGGACACGGGGCAGATTACAATGGCTAGGATGTAGAGGTAGTGCGCCTTAATAAATGGGTCTAAATTATCGCAAGGTTCAAATACCAAAGAGAAATTTTCATATAACCAGTCTAAACTTTAAAAAGTACTCACTAAGTTCTCATCACCATCTGAGTTATCCGATAGTTGAACTCGGTGTAACAAATCTCGACATTTCTGGAAAAAATTTGTCGGTTACTACCTATTAAGGGTCGGCGAAACCAACAAACTTGTTCAAAAATGCCAAGATTTGTTACACCGAGTTCAGCTAACGAATAACTCAGATGGTGATGTGAACTTAGTGAGTACTTTTTTAAGTTTAAATTAGTTATATGAAAATTTGTCTCAACCTTGTCATTTATTAGGACATACTATCTCTACATCCTAGGAACTGTAATATGTCCCGTGTCGTCAAAAGATGTTGTAATGACAGATTTTTTATATGCATTAGAGGATATAGAAAAAGTAAATAATTTTGTGTGGGGGTAATTAGTTTGGGCCATCTCTATTTGGTTTGCAAAAGGAGGGAGGAACTAATCTTAGTCATTTGTTGGTCAATGTAAGAAATTGTTTTTTATGCTTTATATGTCACATTTTTGTTTCAGTGTTTTAACTTTTTTATTGACTTTTCTTTACCGGTCTTTGTTCTAGAGAACTTGCCAGATATGAAAATTTATTTTATGGTGGTCCAATCACGCATACAAACTTTCCATAAAAGTAGAAAGATAAAATAATAAAAGCAACCTTCTCAAGTAATAGACACCAGTAGATCCAATTCCAATACTCGTCCACATAGACCAGTATATCCATATTCCATAACATTTTGATGCAAATAGCATTTTAGTCCCTAAATTATTATTTTAATTCAGTTTTGAATCCTTCTATTATTCAAATTAACACATTTAACCTTCAATAGAGCCAAATGTGCACTTGTGGTCCAACTAAATATACAAACTGGAACTATCATTCAGAAGATAAGCTAGATCACGCTTCTCAAATAAGCCTTCGTCATAATAGATAGATGAATCCTATGGGAAGGAGGCTTCACTCAACAAAGCTAGATAATCCTTCGCAAAATAAGCCTTTGTCACATTTGGTAGATGCTCTAGAGCAAAGAGCTTTAAAGAAAAAACAATAAAAAAGTTAAAATATTGAAATAAAAAAAGACATAGAAAGCATAAAAAATAATGTCTTACATAGACAAGCAAATGACTAAGATTATTGTCTCCCTCCTTTTGCAATCCAAATAGAGAATGGGCTCAAGCTGCTGACCTATGCAAAATCATTTATTTTTTTATATCCTCCAATGCATATAAAAAAGCTGTCATTACATCAATCTTTTGAAGACACGGGGCAAATTATAATACTTAGGATGTATAAGTAGTACGCCTTAATAAATGAATCTAAATTACCGCAAGGTTCAGGGACCAAAGAGATAATTTCATACAACTAGTCTAAACTTTAAAAAGTACTCGCAAAATTCTCATCACCATCTAAGTAATCTTTTAATGGAACTCGATGTAATAAATCTCGGCATTTCTAACAATTTGTTGGTTCTGCCGACGACTAGTTTACCCATAATAGGTAGTCATGTTAGACTAGTAGTCAACAGAACTATCTATTGAGGGTAAACTAGTAGTCTGCAAGATCAAAAAATTGTTCAGGAATACCGAGATTTGTTACACTGAGTACCAATGCCGGTAACTCGGATGGTGATGATAACTTAGTGAATATTTTTATAAGTTTAGACTGGTTGTATGAAAAATTCACTATGATCCCTGAACCTTGCGATGATTTAGACTCATTTATTAGAGTGTACTACTTCAACACACTATGCACTGTAATATGCCTCGTCTCCTAAAAAGATGTTGTAATGGCAGTTTTTTTATATGCATCGGAGGATGTAGAAAAAGTAAAAAAAATTACATTGGGGTCAATAGTTTTGGCCCACACTCTATTTGTTTGCAAAAGGAGGGTGGCACCAATCTTAGTCATTTGTTGATCTAGGTAAGAAATTGTTTCTTATGCTTTTTATATCTCTTTTTTATTTTAGTAGTTTAACTTTTTGGTTGGCTTTTCTTTAAAGTTCTTTGCTCTAGAGCATCTACCAGATATGTCAAATTTTATTCTGGCCCACTCACGCATAGGGCCACGCATACAAACTGGAACTATCATTATTCAAAAGATTTTTTTCTTTTTATATAGGATTCAAAGACCCTTTTTCTATAAAAGGGTAAAATAAGATAATAAAAGCAGCCTTCTCAAGTAATTGACCACACACATACTCATCCATATACACCAGTAGATCCAATTCCAATACTCAACCACATAGACCAGTATATCCATATTCCAACACATTTTGATGCAAATAGCATTTTAGTGCCTCAATTATAGTTTTAATTCGGGTTTTGATCCTTCTATTTTGAAATTAACAAATTTAACCTTCAATTAAACCAAATGTGCGGTTGTGGTCCAATTGAATACAAACTAGAACTATCATTCAGAAGATAAACTAGCAAAAGTACTTGTAACTTTCTAAATCATGGGTCACAACACATACTCATCTAGACACATCAGTACATCTCCACTCCGTAACATTGATATAAATAGAATCTAGTCCCTATATTGCTGTTTTCTTCGAGTTCTGACAATGTATTATTAAAGTTCGCTCATTTAACCTCATAAAACTGATTTTCCCATTCAGAAGCATGGATCACACATATAGTCATCAACATACATCAATAGATCCACGTTCCATCACATAGTAATGCAAATAGAATTCTACCCCCTGAATTATCAGTTTATTCTGGTTTAGTTCCTACTGGTAATTTAAAACATATGTGCAGCTACAGTCCAATCACACCTAACTGAAACAAAAGTAAATGTAAAGTCATGGATCACACACATATACTCACCCAGATACATCAATAGATCCACACTCCATTACAACAAATTCTTATACCAAAAAAGGAGAAGAAGATCGAACCTCCGGAAACAAAGAGAGGCTGAGATTTATGAAAATGGACGCCGCGAACGGGGCCATCGTGCTCATCAAATCGATCAATGAGAGTTCCCATACGGTAATCCCATAGCTGGATCACGCCGCTGTGTAGACTGGCTAAGATCCATGGCCTTTTGCTGTGAAAACTCAAACCTTTCACTCTATTACTCTTCGTCTCAAACTTTGTCAACATTTTATCTATGCACACACACTACAGAGAGTGAGTAAAAAAACTTTGATTGAAATCTGAAACCCTAAATGGATCGTGAGATTGATTTTGAATCAGATCTGAGATGGAATGTGCATTTTTTTTAAGATCGAAGAAAAGTGGTGGTGAGTGGGGTGCGTAGGTTAAGCGCAAAGTGTGTGCGTAAAAATAGATCGAGCTTTTGAGAGAGAGAGAGAGAGGGGGAGAGGGGGGAATTAGAAAGAGAAGAGCTGCTACTGCTGCTTTCTGGATCAACTTGATATGTAATTGGAGACACGACGAACGCGACTTCATATTAAGATCCGTTTTTTATTAATGAAAAAAGGATGGATTTTTGCATTCCTATCTCATGCCATATAGCAAACTATATTACTTAATTACCAATTCTATATCATAACGTATTTTAACTGAACATTAATTATACTTTATATTATTCTTAAATTTATGGTATCGTATATTCCTTCAAATCCCCACCCCTACGTTTCTCTCTCTCAACCTCACGCCCTCAGCCATGTATCACCACACACCCACGTTTCAAACCATCATTCCCTATGTTAAAACCAAAAAAACAATTGAAACCATCTATCATTAACGTCCAAAATTAAGGTTTTTTCTTTTATAACCAATCAAAATTAAAGTCGAATCTTCAAAGTTCATACACATCAATAACTTTTGATGGTTATGATTTCGGGTTCCTTCAATAATATAAGTGGGAAGGAAAAGAGAGCAGTAATCCCACCATTGACAGCCATTAAAAAGCTTTGAATTCAAATTTGAGTTTTCAAAAATCATTATTTATTTGGATTGGGTGTTGTTGTAAATAATTGGGAATATGATTTGGAGTTTATATCTCAATTTTGAGGGGTTTTGGTGAAGATTATACTTGGTTTTGGCTGAATTTCAGATTGAAACTCGAAGAAGAAGAAGAAGAAGAAGAAGAAGACATGCAGCAATTGTAGATAAATTGTAGAAAAATTGTAGACTGTTGTTTATTTATTTTTGAGCTTTTGTGTTTTTGTGTTAAAAGTTTTGATGGGAGCTTGTTATTCCACTTCATCTGTTTTGGAGCTAACTTGTGCAGAGGAGAAGATGTTTTTTAAGTTATATATATTGCTATACATTTAAATTCAAGAAAGTATGGTTGTATTGTATTTAAAGAGGCGTGAATTTGTAGAATATGTTGAATGTGAGGAATGAGTCAAATAAGACTCACAACGGCTTGTTTTCGACATTTAATCTATAACAAAACTACATATCATTTGAAAAATTAATATGAAAATACAGAATTTCAATGTTTCTACAAATTATTTGCAAACTGTTCATAACAGAATTTATCTTTATTTTCATGCATGTTCGTCTAGAACACTAAAGTTACTTGATATGCCAACATCTCCCGTTATAGGGGAATACAACTTATCTATAATTTTCTACAACTTTCACACATTATTTCCACCCAATGAAATACAACTACAATAACATAAAATTTACATACAAATTTTATATAAAATTTATACAATATGTCTTTTGTATATTTTGTATCTGATTTATACATACTAAAAATAATTTTCATACAACTAATTATATACTATACAACTTATCTACAAATTATCTACAATTTTCATACATTATTTCTACTATGTTATATACAACTACAATATAATACCACTTAAATATAATTTTTATACAATGTTGTTCAACTTTCATACAATAGTTAAATGAATAAAAGAAAAATAAATAAATAACAGAATACAATTTTTCTATAATTTAACTATAATTTATCTACAATTTCTGCAATATAATATATGTCATATCGTCTTCTTCTTCTTTTTCGAGTTTCAATTCAGCCAAAACCAAGTCTAATCTTCACCCAAACCCCTCAAAATTGAGATATAAACTCCAAACCATATTCCCGATTATTTGCAACAACACCCAATCCAAATAAATAATGATTTTTGAAAACCCAAATTTGAATTCAAAGCTTTTTAATGGTTGTCAATGGTAGAATTGCTGCTCTCTTTTCCTTTGCTTTATATTACTGAAATTTGGACATAATTGCGTTTGATGTAGAAGAATTATAGAAGATTTAGTCGTTTTTGATTTGTGAATTGTAGAAGAATAATCAATTCGTTTTTGAATTGTAGAAGAATAATTGCGTTTGATGTAGAGACGCTAAATTTGGAACGAAACTGACGAAGAAGATTAATGTGCGTGATTTACGTTTGGAAGATCCGAAATAATATTTAATCCTCCAATTTTAGCGCGCCTAAATAAGGAAGCCTACAGCTATAATGATTCCTTATTTAATGCATGGTCTATATTTTGTATAAATACTATTAGCATGAAGGGTAATATGCAAACTATGAACATATTTGGTAATATAGTTTCCTATATGGTATATGAACGAAAATTTCCCAAAAAAGATTTGAAGATTTTATGGACCCCGTTGGTTATAAATTTTGTCAAAATATATTTGGGTTTTGGCAAATATATATTTGGTCATATATTTTATTTATATTTTGGCAAATTTCCAAAACCCAAAATCCAAATCCCAAAACTAGCTTGGCCCAAAATATCACTATTACATTTTTTAAAAATTACCCCAAATTTTTGTATTGTATAAAAGAGCCCGCTATTTATTATTTTGTAACAATAATGTTTCGTCTTCTCAGTCATCTGATAGTGTATTATGTAGTTCATTATAAAAATAATACTTTTGTACCAAATTTATTTATGTTCATTGTGAGCACATGATTTTTGCTTTAACGAAAACTACTCCTAAAATAAATCAAAAAATAAAAAATAAATTTCTTTTACTGTGTAATTTTTTGAATTTGCATGGTGTTAAATATTTGTGTTATGTCCGTAAATGTTTATTTTATCNTCTGAACTACACTGACCCGATTCCTTTATAGCCAAGGATATGTAGGAAACCTTTGAGGCAGAGGTTCGGTCAAATCTTTCTAAAAATGCTTCCCACGGAGTATTTGAACGGGCAAAAATCGCTCGTATCCGCTCACTTTATCTTTGCACGAAAACTCTTCGAGTTTCCGCACAAAGAGGGGCAGCTGTGAGCACATGATTTTTGCTTTAACGAAAACTACTCCTAAAATAAATCAAAAAATAAAAAATAAATTTCTTTTACTGTGTAATTTTTTGAATTTGTGTGGTGTTAAATATTTGTGTTATGTCCGTAAATGTTTATTTTATCATAATAAAATGAAAAAAAAATACATATTGCATGCATATAGGATTTAATTATGCATTTAAGAGATAATTTAAATAAAATCACAAAAATATGCATTGGTTTTATTTTAAATGTTTCACTGTGTGATTAATATTTTTTGTCTATGTGTTAAATAATTGTTATAGAATAATTAATATATATTTGTGAAAGTAAATTTGTTTTATAATTACAATTAGAAACTTAAATTAGAAAAAAATGAAAAAATATAATAATACATATACATAAAAATCGGACCTGGATTTAAATCCAGGCCCAACCAATTAATTCCCTTCACAGCCCAATCCCAACAGCCCATGTCCGGTCCAATCCAAGCTAAAACCAAACGACGCCGTTTGGTCACCTCTCATCAAGGGCCGTTGGATTAAATCCAAGCAACGGCCAAGATCTCATCACCCTAACCCAAGACCCTTACCCGACCCACTGCCCCGGTTCAACCCGTCCCCCTGACTTAAACCAAACGACACCGTTTGGGTAAGTGAGTAGATCTCAGCCCTCCATTCTACCTGATCCAACGGATAACATCAGTCCACCCCACCCCTATATAAGTCCCCAAGCCTTACCCGACCCCTAACTAAACACCCCCCCTCTCCTACACTGTTCATCATCGTCCCCCAAGCCCCACTCCTA